ATGGCAGCCCATTGAGGACGCTGTTAAAGGCAGATTCCCAAGCTCTACCATGACCAGACTCTGGAGGCTCACATCTTAACCAGAACTCCAGACCACACAGGACACATTATTGTTCTAGAGACCAAGGACTTTGTCTGAGACTCCACCCCTGCAATTCAGGAAGCTACTTCCACTCAAAAGCTTGGTATCTCTCTGAAAACGTGCCCGATAGATGAAGCCTAGGGTCACATAAACCCCGTGTGTCCGAGTGAAGCACACAGTACTAGGACACTATGAGGCACTCGGTGAAAGGGGGCATTGAGGCTGCTGAGGCCAACAAGCACCGAAATAATTACAAACCAAGGCAGCAGTTGCTACCTACTGAGCTCCTGCGGTGTACCTGGCATCTTGTAGAGAATACCACATAAATAATCCTAATTATGTCATGATGACCCTACAAGGTGGTACTGGTGACATTCCCATTTTATAAAATAAGAAACCAAGCCTTACAAAGACTAGGTTGCTCAAGGTCAAAAGGAAGTAGTCAAGCCAGGCAAATAAACTATTAGGCTTGCAATGGAGCAACCCAGCCAGAAGAAGGAATGAACATATAATAGCATGGACAGATCTCAACAAAGAAGGAAACTGACCCCCCAGACTCCATCTATGTGATACTCTAGAAAACACAAACTAATCTAAATTGACAGAAGGCCAATCAGTGGTTACCCAGAGCCAGGCCCAACTGGGATCAGAAAACTGTGTGTGGTAGGGGAGGGGAGGCAGTATTACAAAAGATTTGGCAATAAAATGTTTCTGACCATGCAACAGTAAAAAAAAAATCCAAGTTAAAATCAAAGGGGTAATAATCTGTGGGGTTCCTGGCAGTGCTCAGACCTCGGTCTGACAGTGGACCTCACTGGAGCCTTGGTTCTGAACATACATTGTATACAATTTGTTCCGCACACACTGGCCTGCCAGGCGGTGCCACCAAGGGTCCTTCAAGCACCTCAGCGACCAGTCAAGACTCCTGCTTCTAGGAACTACCGGGCTTTTACTGCTCTCACCACGTTTTCTGCTTACAGATACAGATGGTTTATGGAAAACAAAGATTTGGAATATTTTTCTAGCACCACTTCTAGAACATGAGTATTGAATTAGTGCATTTGGGGTTGTGCTGTACTAGAATGCTTGATTTTTCAAGGTGCTGTTTAAATTGCTAACTTGTATTTTATTTTTTAAAAAAAGGTTAAATGAATTTTGACTTGGGATTAGAACAGACTTTTACATCACTTCTGAAATGGCCTGAAACATAACTTGTGCCATTTTGTATGAAGCAGCACTCTGCAGTCACGACTGGGAAGCCCAAGTATTCATCAACTCGGAAAATGCTGAAGATGCTCTCTGCATCCTGTAGCATCAAATATTCAGCCAAGATTTAATGCTTCACATAAAAATAGATATCCATCTCATTAGTATGCAAATCTGCTTTTGTGTGTAATAAGTGATGAAATTATATGTATACCAAAGAATTATCTTAAAATAAATTTCTTGGGGCTGGAGAGATGGCTCAGAGGTTAAGAGCACTGACTGCTCTTCCAGAGGTCCTGAGTTCAATTCCCAGCAACCACATGGTGGCTCACAACCACTTGTGATGAGATCTGGTGCCCTCTTCTGGCCTGCAGTCATACATGCTGTATACATAATAAATAAATAAATCAAAAAAAAAAAAAAAAAAAAAAAAAATAAATTTCTTGATGATTTATTATCAGAAAATGTTGGATTTGCATATCTGTTTTATATACCTGTATACCCAGGGTCACATAAAATTTCTCAAGCAAAAACAGGTTGTGAATAGAAAAGGTTGAAGCTTGATTAAAGGGATAGGTGAATGGAGGGATGGATTACCAAAGGCCATGAGAAGGTTTGGGGTGCTGCATGTCCACCTTGACTGTGATAATGGTTTCTGGACATGCACGAAAACTTGTGAAATTGTGCATTTCAAGTGTACAGTGCACTGCAGCCAAGCACGCCTCTCTAGAGCTCGCTGAAAGGAACGAGAGCAGGAGAGCCTGGAACAAGATGGCTCCCCAACCCTAAACCTAACCCAGTAATTCATTTTTTTTTTTTTGCAGTGATGGGGATCAAATCCAGGGCCTTGTGCTTACTACGCAAGACTTCTACCGTGAGCTACATCCTCCACTCTTATATTTAATTTAATCTTATGTTCTTAAAGACTATTTCCTTTTGCTTTCTGAAGTCAAAAGATGTATTATAGGCAGTTTAAAGTACAGCCACCAAGTGATTTTTAAAGCTGATACTCTGACCTCTAAAATCGAGGAAGAAATAACATAAGCCTGTAATGATCACCAGCAGTGACTCAGAGCTCTTCTAAAGCACTGTTAAAGTTACTGCCATTAGAAGATTAGAACAAGAATTAGAAAGGAAAGAAAGAAAAAAGGAAGTGTCCAACAGACCCACATAAAGATATATTTTTTGCAATTTATTTTTCTTTTATGTGTATGAGTGTTCTACCTGCATGTATGTATGCACACTGTGTTTGTGCATAGTGTCCACAGAGGCTAGAGTTATGAATGGTTGTGAACCTCCATGTGGGTGCTGGGAAGTGAACCCAGATCCTCTGCAAAAGCATGAGTACTCTCAACCACTGGGCTATTTCTCTGGCTCCTGCAATGGACACTTTTAGGTACAGTGTTATCCAAAAGGGGCGGAGACACAGTTCAAATAAACACGAGTATTACTAATCTGAGCACTGCTGGTCTAAGGAGTGCTGGCCAAGGGAAGTGGAGAAAGCCCTGAGGGAGGAAAGGAGGAAGTGTGTCTAGAAGTTTTCATGGTAACAAGCCAAGACAAAACGATGGGTTGAGCTGCGAAGAGAACACGCAAGTGCCAACAATATAAAGCCATACCGCCCTTCAGAGCAATCAGACAAAGGGTGGCGGGGATTTATGACTGAGACCCCGGAGAGACATCAGGGTGACCCAGTCTTGTAAAAAGTATTACTCTCAAGGCAGAGACTTACGACTAAATCTTGAATTTGTTTTCTAAAATGTAACCTACAATGAGCCAGGAAAACAAGGAAATGCTGGGTGGCATTTCCTGACAGAATTAGCAGTCAACAAGCCTACAGCAAGCAGCAAAGGATCCTCACTCTACCACTCCCCAACAGACTGTCAGCCTGCTGGAGGCCCCCTGCCGGGCTCTCAGCGGGTTCCCCAGAGGTAGCAGGTGGGATTCTAAGTGCCTGTGGAGTGAATCTGCAGGGTCAGGTGTGCAGAGCACAGGTGGGGATGGGTCTCAGTTACCTTACGGAAAACAGAAAAGGGCAGCTAAGAAACAGCATGACAACCATCTGGCAGCTTCCTGGCAGGAGATTTCTAACGTGTTTACACATATGGGTCACTTTTGCCCTGCTGGAATCAGGATAACTCACTGTGCAGTTCTCTAATGTCAGAATTAGAGCTGAGGGTGTACTCAGCAGTACAGTACTTACTTTACAGCCACAAGGTAGGCCCTATGCTCTATCCTCAGGCCCAGACATAAAGTCAGAATCCTTGGGTTTTTGTTCTGGCTCTGAGTCTTACGTGCTCTGTGTCTTAGTCAAGCTATTTCACCTCTTTGTATTTTCAACCATAAAACAAGACAAAAAATAGACCCATACTTTCGGTGAGGATTAAATGAGATAAGTTATGTATCAACCTTAGCACAACATTACTAAACAAATGCCTATCATTGTGTTTTTAATATTCAAAAGGGCCACTGTATTCCTCATATGATACCATTTGCTGTGTGCTTCTACTAAATATCTTTGTACATGTTCTGAGTGTCTGTTGTCTACCTCTCTGATCTGGGGTTATCTGAGACTACCTTGTTGTGGAATATTAAACTATGTAAATATGTGTTACATTTGTTTATGCTGCATTTGTTTAATTATGTAAAAATATGTTGCTGTTTTACCTTGCCTGCCTAAGGCACTTGATTGGTTTAAAAAAACAGCTAAACGGCCAATAGCTAGGCAGAAGAGGTATAGGCAGGGCTGGTGAGCAGAGAGAATAAGTAGAAGGAGGAATCTAGGCTCAGGAGAAGAGAATGAGGGAGAAAGAGAGGGAGATGCCTGGGGCCAGCCAGCCAGACACAAAAAGCAGCAAGGTAAGACATACAGAAAGAAAGAAAGTTAAAAAGCCCAGAGGCAAACATAGATGAAGAGAAACTGCTGTGGATTATGCTCATTGGTTAATAAAAAGCTGACAGGCTGGTAACTGGGCAGGAAGTTAGGTGGAAAAGCCAAACTGAGAATGATGGGAAGAAGGAGGGCAGAGTCAGGAGAGATGCCAGCAAGCTGCCCAAGAAGCACAATGCTAGTGGACAGGTAAAGCCCTGAGCCATGTGGCAATAGATAGACTAATAGAAATGGGTTAATTTAAATGTAAGAGCTAGTTAGTAATAAGGCCGAGCTACTGGCCAAACATTTTGTAATTAATACAAGCTTTTGTGTGTTTATTTGGGACCAGAAGGTTGAGACAAGAAAATTCCATCTCCATTTATAAGAAATAGGTTAAATTAAGTTATAAGAGCTAGCAAGAAATGAGCCTAGGCTAAGGCTGAGTATTCATAACTAATAATAAGTCTCTATGTCATGATTAGGGGGTTGGTTGGTGGCCTAAAAGAAAGCTTGGTACAAGGCACCATGGTGCAAACCTGGAATTCCAGCACTTAGAGGCTGAAGCAGGAAGATGTTCAAGACCAGTCTGGGTTACAGAGCAAGGCCCTGTCTCAAAACAAAACAAAAAAACTGATTAAAAAGTTGGACTCTCATGGTGATCAAGATACAACTTCCTTTTGGAAATATACTGCTTAGCAGTCTTTCAAGACCCTTCTTTTGGGAAAGAAGGGAGGCCATTTCATTAGGGAAAGTGAAACCCTGTGTGTTTTGCATTTTTCTATTTCCACCCTGTGAGGGATACTAACTTGGATTCCTGAGATGTTGAACTAGAGACACCTACCTGCTTCTGAGAGCCTTTAATCTCTGGGCATTCTTCCAGTCTTTTCAGTGTGTCCTGGGTAAGCAAGACTGCATTTGAGAAGACACTTTCATGTTCTAGCAGGAAATTCAGCTGGTCCTGCTTCCTCTCACACTCTGAATAAAGAGCAGGGTGAAACAAAACAGGGCTTTATTACTTGAAATGATGAAAGAGCAATTTCAGTTGAGGAGAACCGTCAGTCCCAGACTGCCCCACCTAGCACATGATGGATAAGCAGGATGTCAGCATTTCGAGGCTTTTTTCTGCACACATCATCTTTCTGGTGACGATCCTGGGGTGCTCTAGGAAGCAGAACACTGCTGTCTTAGTATTGCCTCTCTGCTCTGTGCTCACTTCAGCTTTCAATACCAAACACCAGGCATTTTAAAAACAAGATCCCAGTATGGGCTGCAGTAAATTGTGGTTTCCTACCTAATGGTGACGTTTGGCAAACTACCAGTGAAACAAAGCATCTGCAGGGCGTGCTGATGCATACCTGTAATCCCAGCACTTGGGAGGCAAAGGCAGGAGGATTGCCATGAGTTAGAGGTCAACCTGCTCTACATGGTGAGTTCCAAGCCAACTGGGGCTCCACATAGGGACTTTGCCTCAAAATAACAAACAACAACAAAACAATGAATTTCAAAAACTAAAAACCATCAAATACTGTAATTGGCAATAGAAGTCTGGAATTCAATTAAATATAAATTTATAAATGAAATGAAACACAAAATCAAACAACTGTTACCTGTTTCTGTGTTGGCTTCCTTTGCCTCACTTGGGATCTGTCCAGCAGGGGAAAGGGAACAAACTCCAGCTGTGTGAAGAGTCACCCCTGTGACTTCTGCAGCCACCTGAACAACAGGAGGATCTGAATTCATCTCCTGGGTCTTGGCTTTCTCGGGGCCTGCTGGCATGGTAGAAACTTCCAGGGAAGAAGAGGGCTCCCCAGGACCTTCAGAAGAAATGACTTCTACTTGAGGTTTCTCTGATTCCTTGCCACCTGCCTCTGAGGACAGCACTGAGATATCCCTTACCACCTGCCCCTGGACAGAGCAGTTTACAAGGTTGGTCAGAAGATTTTTACAACCAACAGCCACATCAAACATCTGCAGGCTATCTGCTAAGGAGATGATCTTGGAGAAGTTGTGTTTGCCCATGGGGAGCTTGCCAGTGTATGTCATTTCTAGCAAGAGGGCAAACTCCTCGGGGCTCACCACAGATGCATCGATGGAGATGGCATCTGTGCTGTCCAGTAAGGTTTTAAACAGGAGGCTGGCCGCTGCCAGGACGAGCTTGTGGGCCCTGAAGTAGATGTTGCCAATGGAAATGGTGCAATCACAGAAGCGCTGCTCCTTGCACAGGGCGTAGAGCTGCAGCAGCAGCTGCTGGCTGTAGTTGGGGAGTTCCATGGTGTAGATCCGCCCTCGACTCCTTCCTCTCTCTCTCCAGACTCCACCTAGCGAGGTTCAGCCCTAGAGAGACCCACAAAGAACTGTGTCAAACAAACAGGCATTCAGGAAAGGTCTAGTGGGAGCTGCTCAACAAGCCAAAGGACAATTCACTCACTCATTCAATAACAGCGTCCACTTCATTCATTCAGTGTTGCTCAACAGGGAGGGGCAGGGCACCAGGACTCCTGAGTTAGCAATAATTATAAATAATTCTATGTGATTAGTTAGAGGCAGGGACTGTGCTTAGTGTCCTGCATGCATGGTCTCACTTGCTCCTCATGGTGACTTAGAGTCATCTTTCCTTCCCTCTTCCACAGAGTAGCTGAGGGAAAACCAGCTATGGAAGGGCCTGTCATCATTACAGGCTGATCTGGAAGCTGTAATTACTCTCTTGTATGCCACGTCTGCCCCCTAGAAGTGCTGGCCAGCAGGAGGAACAGACACAGACACAAACTGGAAATATAGCGTCCCAGTACTCAAGCTGTCACAGCACTGGGCAGGGATCCTGACCCTCCCCTTGGACACATTTGTCATTTGGTTCATGCTCCCACTGACTCACGGGCCAGGCTCCCGTTTCCTACGCTGGGCATCCTCATCACCTCTCCAGCTCCAGCCTCCTCTAAATTCTGGTGTATACTTCCAACAGCTGGTGTACCAGCTTCCCGGTGTTCCTTTTCAATGTCTCCAATTGGAAACCTAAAAGGCGTTTGAAACTTTATGTCTCCAAAGCTCCCTGCCATCTTCCCCACTTCCCAGAAATCCTATCCTAACTGCTCACACCAAAACCCTAGAGAAATGGCTAGAGAAATGGCTCAGTAGTTAAGAGTACTGGCTGTTCTTCTAGAAGACCCAGGTTCTAGTCCCAGCACCTATGTCTATAACTATCTATAACACCAGTTCCAGGGAATCTGGTTTCCTCTTTTGGCCTCCAAGGCTATCAGGCATGCATGTGGTACACAGACATACATGCAGACCAAATGCTCATACACATACAATAAAACAAATGAACAAACAAAAATCTATAGTTAATCCTGATGCCTGTGTTTCCTCATAAACTAGATCTAATCCTTCAAAACCCCACTGGCTCTACCTGCAATATATACAAATCCCAGCACCTCTCATTCCTTCATGGCCGGTTGAAGCCACCATTCCCATTTATCGAAATTCCTACAAAAATCGTATAGCTGATCTCCATGCCTCTGCCTGCCCTACCTTCTATTCAACAGCCAGAGTGATCTATTTAGCACACAGTTAGAGCCTGGCATTTCTTTTTACAGATGCCTTAAATGGCTTCAGTGTCAGATCAAAGTCAAGGTTCTTACAGTGAACTGCACCAGCCCTTCATAACCCAGCTGTCACTGGCTGTCTAACCTCCTCTACATTCTGCTCCTCCGCCCTCAGCTCTGAGTGCACTGCCTTCCTCGCTGACCTAGGAGCACACGGAGTACACTTCAGCCATAGGGTTCCTCACATTCCTGCCAGGCTGGCTCTCTCACCTCCACCAGCACACTGCTCAAGGGCCACACAGGTGGGACATTTGTAATCTGAAATGCTTCAGAATCAGAAACTATTTCATTCTTTCTTTTCCTTCTATGAGACAGTGTCTTTTTTTATGTAGCCCAAGCTGGTCTGGAACTCATGGTCTTCCTGCCTCTGGCTCCTAAACTATAGAGATTATAGGGATATTGGCCTATAGGTGTGTGCTACCATTCCTGGCTGCAAACCAGAAACGGTACCAACATGATATCACAGATGAAAAATTCCACAGCTAGGCTGGAGAGATGGCTCAGTAGTTAAGGCCACTGACTGCTCTTCCAGAGAACCCAGGTTCAATTCCCAGCACCCACATGGAGGGATTGAAACTATCTGTTCTAGCGGACCCGACACCTTCACACAGACATACATGCAGGCAAAACACCAATGCATTAGAAAAAAAAAAATCCACAGCTGACCTCATGTGACAGGTTCAAAAGTCAACACTCAAGTGTACTAACAATACTCTGTGTGCAATGGGCTTCAGGCTACTGTGTAAGAAACAAGAATGATTACTGTGTTTATTTATTTATTTGAATACCATGTTTATATTTAGGGATCTATCCTTAAGTCTCCATAGGCAGATGTTCCAAAAACCAATATATCCAAAATATTCTGTGTCTGGAACATTCCCAGGTAAGAGCACTTGGTCGGTGTCACCGCCCTCGCCTCACCCTGCCCTGCTTTCACCTATCACGCATCACCCACTGGTGTGTGGTGCTCTGGTTGTGCCTCACCTGTCTCCTAGGTAATGCCCAAGCTTTACTGGGAGAGGCTCTTTACCACCTGCTGTCTCTCAGCGCTTAGAATGCTGCCTAGCATACATATTGCTGGTGACCTGGCAGAATAAAACACCAATTAGAGGGAAATATAATGATAGGGATTTGCAATATGCATGTAACAACCTAATTTTGGACAGAGGAGTCCAGAAGTTGGAGTAAAACTTGGAGGAAGAGTATTGACGCGTGTGTGTATGTGTGTGTGTGTGTACATGCGACGTATATGTATATTCATGTGTGTGAATGCAGACATCAGCTTACTTGGCCCATGAGTTTCTGGGTATTCTACTGTCTCCACCTTCAATCTCCCCATAGAAGTATTTGGAGTATAGATGTGCTACACATTCAACTTTTATGTAAGTTCTAGAGATTTAAACTCAGGTCCTCACGTTGTATGGCAAGCACGTTTACACACTGAGCCATCTCCCCAGCTCCCTGACCTGCATCTTAAAAAATGAGGAAGTAGGAAGGGTTGGGGGCTAAGACAGTGTGTGCAGGGCAGCTTGCAGGAGGAACATTGGGGTAGAGGAGGGTTATAAAAAAAATCAGTGGTGTTAGAATATAAAGCAGGGGGCTGGGAGAGTCAAGATATGGGTCTGGAGAGGCACAGAGTGATGACGAGGCCACTTCAAAGAACTTGGGTTTTCTCTTAAAGGCAAAGAGGAGCCACTAAAGAGATTTGTAGTAGAAGGTCACATGGTCAAGGATGTACTTTAAATATGTTATTTTAGTAATGCTTTTCTTTTCTTTTTTGGTTTTTCAAGACAGGGTTTCTTGTGTAACCTTGGTTGTCCTGGAACTCACTCTGTAGACCAGGCTGGCCTTGACCTCACAGAGATCCGCCTGCCTCTGCTTCCCAAGCACTGGGACTAAAGATGTATGCCACCATGACTGGCATCAGTAGTGTTTCTACAGAATTTAAGGAAGATAACTTTAAAGGCAGACTCTTTCATCAAAGGAGATTCAAACAAACCAGTGAGGGTCTTCACCAGAGGTAGAGACACAAAGAGGAGAGTCCAAGTGATTTAGGAACTGAAGGGCATGAAGGAAGAGAGAAACATCACCCCAGGCCCCTAGCGTGGTAAGCAGATCAGTGACAGGAAGGTCCAGATGACACTGAAGGAGACCAGTAGTGAGGGCACAGTTCAGGTTTGGGTTTGGATTCTATAGTGATGATAAAATTGTAGCATCTCCAGAAAGTAAGAAGGGTAGAGAAACCTCTGTTTAAAAAGAAGAGAGAGAAACAGTAGCTGTCTTTCTTAAACAATCATAGCTGATTCTCTTTTTACCCACCACTAGTTTTATTTTTTTTCTGATATCTGAAACGGACACATAAAAGCAGAAACAAACATATTTGGAGTCCAGCCTCCACTGTGCACTGAAGGGCTTATAAGGCACCACGGTCCTCACAATAATTAAAAAGCTGAATGACAGAAAAGCCTTGATTAGAGCAGAGATCACTGTCTCCCTAAGCTGGGTGCCAGGCAGACACAGATTACCAGGATCAGAGGCCCAGTGCAAAAGCCCCCCTGGAACAAGCCTGTGTCAGGGAAACCTGATCCCTGACTGATGAACTGACCAAGGCTGAGGACCCAGGGCACAGGGCACAGTCACAGGGCACTCTTCTCACTTGCCAGAGTTCTCCCTCCTGGAGCTCCACCAGCACTCTAGGGTGACTTATACCCACCTGTAACTCCAGTCCCAGAGGTATGACACCCTCTCCTGGTCTCCACAGACATCAGATACAAACAAGGCACAAAGACACAGACACTGGCAAAATACTCGTACACAGAGTAAATCTTTAAAAAAAAAAAAAAAGGTTACAAAGTCATTTCCAAGAGACTGTAGACTTTGTTTCCACTTCTAGCCATTCCGTACCTCATCGGTGTCATGATGGTTGGCATTTGTTAATTCACAATTGTTTCAGTTTCTTCAGAGAAGTTGGCCAATAGTAAGCATTTAGCCCTACCATTTGAGTTCACGCTATCTTAACACCTATGTGCATGGGTGTCTGTGCATGGCTGTCTGTGGTGGTGCATGCCTGCAACCCCAGCAGTGAGCAGGTAGGGATTACCCAAGTCTACATATCAACTGACAGGCCAGCAGGGCTGCACAAAAGCTACAGAGGAGAAAAGTCCTGTGTGTTTCTAAATGCACGAACAGTCCCTAGGGCTGAGTGACCCATGACAGCAGGCAGCGGCGTGAACAGCATGAGAATTTGTACCTATCTCATGGTACTTGTAGCAAAAGAAAAAAGTTGCAGAAATTGAAATAATCATTGCCAATGGGATCTTGTGGCAAACTATTTAATATTTTTATTAACAAGAAGAAATAATAATGTAATAAGTTGATTATGAATAAACAGTTGGGCAGAATCTCTTTTAAAAAGAGTAACAAAGATTTTTATTTGTATTTATATTATTTATATGGGTGTTTTGCCTGCATGTATGTAAGTGCACCATATGCCTGCAGTGCCCACGGAGGCCAGAAGAGTGTTGACTTTTATGGAACTGGAGTTATAGACCACTGTGAGCCACCTTGTGGGTGATGGGAATTGAACCTGGGTCCTTTAGAAGAGCAGCCAGTGCATTACACAGATACTAGCAATGTCATAAACTTGAACAATAAACAGAGAATGAAGGTAGTTATGGCCAAGAACAGTCAAGGGCAGGCAAGGGCTACTCAATGAATGTATAAGCGAACAATATTAAAAGTTTAAAAAAATACTAAAACTAACAGGGATGCTAATTTCAGAATAGACCTTTGGCAAAACAGCACACTGAGGTGATATAAAGTCATCTTTTCTACCACTACAGACACACAGATAAAACCCACAAAGATGCTTTTAAAATACATAGTCAAGTTTAAAAAAAAAAATTCCCCAGGCACCTGAAAATGAAAGAGACGTCAAAATCAAAGCTAGGATAGTAAGTGAGAGTCGAGACCAGCGGCCCTGCGGGGGATTCAAGCTCATGTACAGGCCCTGCACTTGAAGGACGCTGCAGTAATGCAGGCAAGAGATGTGACTTCCAGCAGGCAGAAGACAGGGAGGGGAACTGAGACCCCGTGTGAAGCCCAGGCCTAGGCTCAACCCCCATGCTACAGTCATGCTGAGCACCAGGAAGTAGACAGCAGCGGCTAGTCATCTAGACCTGATGCAGAGAACCACACACAGACCCATGCCACACAGGCACAGCAAGCATTCTGTGTCTTACAGGAATCCCAATCTGATAAATTACCACAAAAACTTGTCTCTGGTATGCATCAGAAGATACTGAGAAACTTTCATAATCCAAAGCAAAGAGACTCACACAGAGAAACAGAAAAACCCAGGAAGGACGCTTGCCACCACAGACCATGTGGAGAAGGCAACTGGATGCAGAG